ACTCATATTTTGGCTGATCGTGAAAACAATATAATTACATTTCATTATAGCAAATGTCATTGTTCACATCTTATTTTATACACATGAAAACATACACTGAAAAACATGTGACACAAACATACAGGAAATATGAATAGTTTAGCAGTTCCCTAACTTGAGATACTGAATACTCACACAGAACTATTTCAAGCAGAATGTGCAGACAAATTAGGAAAAGGTAGTATAGACTAAAAGCTTAACTCCCTAACCTATGTATACAAGATTAAAATTAATATTTACCTGGGAACTTTTCCATCAATCGCCAAATCAGAATGCGACCGTAAAATTACCTTCACGTCGATCTGTTTGTTTGCCGGCAGGCTGCGATTAATGACAGGAATTCCACAGGCTCGCAGTATAAGTATCAATCTATTGTCCAAATTAAACTCCTCCCTTTCCTGGGTTCTGCCCAACCCTCAAGACGATGACTTAAGCCCTGCTTCTGAGGTAACTATGAGATCAACTTGGCTAACCAGTGACCTGTCCACTCACAGTGAACGGCCTACAGTACGACCTTGACCAAGATAAAACATTCCTAATTGCCAAACACCTGTTCTCCCCAGAATTACACTGACGTGTTTAACTTTAAACTTCTCCTCGCCTCAATGTCTACAGTCCGCTCAATTCCCCTGTTCAAAAGGGCCCCACTCAGGCTGTGTTAGGAGATAACATTATGACACTGGCGTGAGAATCAAACCTACACCCCTAGTCTCATCAAAAGTCTGTTCAAAGCAGTCTGGTCAGGAGATAACATTTATGACATGGGCATGTGAAAGGGAATTCTCTAGCCCCGGTGTAATTGTGTAACATTACCCAAGACCGAGTCGCGTTGTCTGGACTAAGGACTGGAAACGTTTAAATCAATACGGTTTAAAGTAACATTTGGTTTAAGGGCATAGTCTCTTGTCTCTCAATAACCAGAAGAACTTATTACAAGTACTAACTTCTGGAATCACTGAGATCGTTTCGTGACAGCCCATATGCCCGATGCGCCGAAAGGCGTGAAAAGGGATCTTTACTTTACTTTACTTACCTTGCTGTTCTTGCTTTGTTGCTATTCCGTTTTTTTTTTTATGTTTCAAATAAAACGTGGCTCAATGAAGTTGACCCTTTTGCTTTTTAACACCTTTACAATATCTGCTACTTAAAGAAACAAGTGTCTCACAGAAACCTCGCGTTTAGCCATTCAACAACAACAACAACAAAATTGTAAAAATACTACAATTTAATAATCATGTTGCGCTGTTGCGAAACTTTCAGAACATAAAGAAATGGCCTAATTTTCGCTTTTGTAATTACGAATGCATGTATCACTTCCTCGAAATGTAGACAGACTAGTTCTGTGGTGAGCACTCCAGGATTCAACAGTCGTTCTTGAATCTGTGCTAAGCATAGAAAGTTCTTAATCCGTTTTAAAACTGGCAATTCAGCAGAACAATTTGCTGTCGGAGTGCAGTTGGAAATCTGGAGTGCAGCTTACACATCTGGGTGAACATCATTAATTTTCTTTGAAGCGAACATCATGCAGAGAAATGGAAGAAAGGGTAACCTGTGCCATCTTTTTTAAATTTTAAATAGATACATTCTTCACCATAATTGTTTCTTGTATGGGAATCGTAGGCCTAAGTGGCTCAAAGTTTCTCTGTAGCATCCATCGACGACCGGCTCACCCACTAACTGGCCAGTAGACGACTTCGTCGTCGGTTGGGACAGTATTTGGGTTTGTCTCATCTGATCGTATTAACACTGCAAGAGTCTTTTATTTTATGGCTACTTGGTGGCGAGCAATGTTAAGCCATTTTAAATGGCGCACATAACCAAGTCACGGTTATAACCAAAAGCTCCCCCCTTTTAGGAGATGCTGGTTAAACGTGACAATTTTTTTTCTTTAATTTAAAACCCCACTCAGGCCGTCGTCAGGGCCCTAATATGACATAACGGTTGAAAAGGGTTTCTGGGACTTGTGCATGGATCCGCCAGGACCGCAGCCACGATCTTCCGATGCCCAGGCGAGGGTCTAGAAGCTGTACCACGGCCACTCCCCAAATGCATGTAAGTAAAAGGGGGAAAAAGTAAAGGACCCTTTTCCTTGTCTTTAGGTGTATAGGGCATATAGGGCTAGACCTATATTTTATTGACCAATTGACACAAGATGGGTGATGTGGTCAGCATCACGTCGGCCGCCTCTACTTCCCGGGAATGCACCCTTACCCACTCAAGGCTGGGTCTACCTTAGCCAAATGCATGTACTTAATGTGTTGAATGGCCTGTTGTTGTAATTGTTTTGCTATGTTCGAGGGAAAGTTCTTAACTTTACATTCGACCAAAGGGAAATAAATCTAATGAATGTCAGCTGACAATTGACAAAACGCCCTTTTGTTGATGTCCACTGTTGCAGAATACCGTTCCTTGTCTAGTGTGGGCGATTTATTGACAACTTTTAGAGAGCTTACCTGTTCAGTTTGTTCTTATGGTGTTGTAAATAGTTTAAGTCTATCACCTACACCAAGTTATAAACATGTGAGTAGTTTGAATTTTTAGTAATAAAATCAGTGAATAAAAATACATTCTTCGCGTTCACCAGCTGTAAAGTACTGTAAACTCTGGGGGAAAGTTCCGGTTGTTCGTCCACTTCTGAACTGCAGCCGTGTTCTACAACCTGAGAGTTGCGTGTGCAACAGACCTGACTCATTTGTATGCAGACTGTTGGTTCCTTCTCTCTCAGGCACTGTTGGTTCCTTCTCTCTCAGGCACTGTTGGTTCCTTCCCTCTCAGGCAGTTGCACTCCGACTTCAAAGGAAGCTCCCAGTTAGTCGGCTCTTATGACATGCTTTTGGGTGGGCTGTGGGTGTTCTTGTTTTCCCTGATTATCAGGCTGATAGGACCCCAGAACCCCCAGAGGAAAATTTAACTATTCTGTAAACTGAACAAGTGTCATCATGTTGACAACTACTAATAGTTGAGATGCTAGTGAAGTTTTGGCTATCTTCCGACAAACGGGCACAAAAGATGGCGGCCAAAAACAGGGCTCCAGCCACATGCCAATTGCGCATTTCCGGCAACCTAATTTAATTTTTTCCAGCAACTACCGCCACCGCCGAGAGTATCCCCCACGCTGCTCATGCGGCGTGGATTGGTGCTAAACTTGATGGGTGGGACTCACGAGCTGCAGCTACTGCATCTCCTGCAGCTTCCTTCATTTAATTTGCTCATGAGTCCCAGCCATCTAGTTTAGCCCCAATCCATGCCGCATGAGCGGCATGGGGATACTCTCGGAGGTGGCGGTATAGTCCCCGGGAGTGCGCAATTGACACGTGACTGAGGCCCTGTTAGGGTATTTTTTCGGGCCTCAATAATTTGGGACCGTTATTCGGAGGATAGCCAATATTTTGTTTCCTAATGAATCCTTTAGCAGCCAGATATCATTTCAGTCAAAACAGTGAGGCCTAGCTGTATATTCATATCTCAAATAATTATGATGCAATTTGTTGCTAATTAACATATAAAAATGGCTGCCAGCTCACTGTTTTTAAGTAAACACAGTATACATTCATAGTTATCTGCGAGTGAGCCTGGCATGAATACCTTTTTGTGCAGACTGATGGTGTGGACATACAGAACAAAAATTGTTGACATCAGCTGGTGTGACCTAATAAAATTAATGTATAAAAATGGGAAGACAGCATTTAAAATCAGACCAAATTATGAAATAAAATCAAAAATCATTGTTTCAGTTCTTTGTAGAAATGAAATATATACTTCCTACAACTAAATAAATAGCATGTAATGATTTAATAATTATAAAGTAGACGCGGTTCAAACATCCATCTGAGGCACAGATGTTGGATTTGAAGCGAATACTATGTCAGTAAAATATATTTTTGATGCTTTCTTGAAACCATTCCTGGTTAAATTTCCCACATTTATGTAAAACTGAACGCACAATTTAAAAAAAAAAAAAATTTGAGGTAATCTGGCTAATTTAGAAGTTTACGAATTCGCTTACCATGATGCTTGCTGCCAAAGAAAAAAATTGATTTATAGTATGTGTGGCAAAACTGTTTTATCACAACCTGTAATCTCTGTAGTAACTTCTAATAATTGTCTTGATATGATTTTTCACGTAAAGAGTAAGGAGAAATAGTTTTTAAGTGAGGGTCAGTGTTCCCCTTTTTTCACAGTTCCAGTACGTTCAAACACATATGCCCGAAGAGGCAAATTGAATGGCCACCTAGCGTCCGTGACAGTATTATCCCTACTACTAACTCTTTGTTAACAAAGTTTGCTATAATGAAGTGGTAAACCATGGTGTGACCGTCTAAGGAAATCACAAATAATGTTGTGAAATGATGTGATTGCATTTTAATTATAGTAATTATAATAGTTTAGCCAAATTTTGTTAAATAACAGGTTACAAATTAGTTACCAATATTTAAGCCGACTGTAATGAAATTAGGTCATATTCTATATTTTAACCAAATATATTAAAAAGACAAGATCATATTTTAAAAAAAATTATGTTGATAATAATTTTTAAGGGCTCGAGCAAGCAGAGGTCGAAATGAACAGCTGGATCAACTGCAGACAGAGGTGAGCGAAGTGACTTCTTTATTGAAGAACAATGTGGAAAAGGTCCTAGAGAGAGGAGAAAGAATTGACACACTGCAGTCCAGATCAGGTACAGTATTAAAATACAGCAAATCTTCTTTGCCTTCTTCTTTACTTCCTATTTTGCTCAGGTGTCAAGAGAGGTATAAGTTTCTGCTTCTTGCTTTTCTGACTCTTCAACCATAAGCACATCAGCCTGTTGCAGAGACTGATGTTATCTTTCCATATTGTTCTTGGTCTGCCTAATGCTGTACATCCTTCTCCTCTTTTAGTGTGTACCTTGTGTGGTATGGCATCACAAGGCATTCTCCTTAAGTGGGCAATACGGTAAATCCTTTATTATTAGTTGATTTCTCCCATTACCTAGAATGTTGTAAGAAGATTTGCTCCACTAAAATTATGGGGTACTGTGAGCAGTTTCAGATCCTGGTATTCCAACCCTTTCCCAGAATCAGAGAGAACTATCGTTATTATGTTTTGGGCATATTTTCTGTTTCCAAATTGAAAATTTTGCCATTGCAGCTGTGATTACAGCCTACTGATGTCCAGCTTCAGAAACGTCAACCTGGCATTTTGCTCCTCTGTATCCTTGCTCTGCCTGTTTGTGTTATAGTCATCCTTATATACATAACCACAGAATGACAACTGCCTTGTCATAGGAGCAATCAAATATATCTTCAAGCGGACCCTTTACATTTCTTAGATATTCATCGGTGTTGACTTCCTAAGAGTTTTCTATTATTCTACAAGTGGTCTTCAAATGAAAACCTTAAAACTGGGATAGAAATTACAGTTACCATGCCGTTGTTTGTAGTCTGTTAATTTTATTTTTAACCTTGTCAAGGGTGTTAAGCACATGACATCATGGTACAGATGAACATATCATGACTTTAAATATGGCCACCCCACTTTTGACATGCACCAGAAAGGAGCAGCATTTTTTTATCCCCCTTTTTTTTTAAACCAGTGAAGGCGTGAAATTTATATAAATTAATCAGCAAATACAGATACAGCATGGCAATGGAGGCCTGTCAGTGCAGCAAGTGTTTGAGTGGAGTAGGAAGTTTCATAACCCCCCTGACCTATGCGACAGACTGTTTATGTCAGACCAGGTGTGAGTACACTTGTATGTATATGTATGTGTTTATACATTGTGCGTGCATATATATATATATATATATATATATATATATATATATATATATATATATATATATATATATATATATGTTTATAATTAAGGGAGAGTTAAAAATTATCTACACTTTTCATTCTACAGTTTATTTTCATGAAGCTTGGTTTTCACTGTCCACATCATTTTTCTGTGTAGTAATCTCCATTCTTATCAATGCAGCGGTCAACAAACTTATATATTCCTTCCAAATAGATGGTTTTCGGTTGGTCATGAAGACACTTTTGCACCGCATTTTGCACGTCTAAGTCTGAAGTCCTGCTCTCTTTTCGTGAGTAAATGGATTCAACCACTTTAAAATTTCTAGGACCAGAAAAACACGGTTTTATGTGATAGTGTACTCCCATATTGTGATGTTGGTCTACGGTGAATTTCTGTATCTTTGACACCCTCCGACCAAAGGAATCATATCACTGCTTGTTGTTCCTCTTTGGTGCAAACTTCTAATGGAGCGGCCATGATCTGTCTGCTACAGAAGGAAGAAAATTGGCAGAATTAGGATAACACTTTCATAGCATTATCACAACAGTATAACAATAAAATAAACGAGGACAGAAGTTAATGTGGACAATGTAAGAAGAGTGACCTCAAAAGTCTAGATAGTTTTTGACTTCCCCTCCTATATATATATATATATGTGTGTGTATATATATATGTGTGTGTGTGTATAAATATATATATATTTTTTGTTGTTGTTGCAGAGGACCTGGAGAATAGCTCAACACATTTTCGTAGTTCTGCAGTGAAAATTCGCAAGAAAATGTGGTGGAATAATTGCAAGATGACTTGTATCATTGCAACAGTTGTAACACTCATCATTATCATAATTGTGGTCGTCATCTTGGGTAAGTTAGATGATTCTTCGTCTATACTATACCATGTGCCATGCCAAGTGACTAAATCACTTTCACACAGCATGCCCTAGAATGATATTAAACCTCAAGGGGTAAGAAAATACATCTCATACTGTTATCCTCACTGACCCCTTGACAGGGCCGGGTTTTGAAGGAGAAAAAGAATAGGCCCACTGCTCCCGTCAAGCATGTCATAGAAGGCGTCTAATTAGCAGTTTACTGAAATCGGATATTTTGGATGGAAAGGTGCAGACATCACCGTCTAATTGTAAACGTCTGTGGCTTAGGCATTGCAAACGCACTTCATAATGCCAGGGGGAGGGGGGGGCTGAGTTTGATGCCAGCTGCGGACAGCTTGTCTTGCGTTGGTTTCGGCAGTGGTACCAAGAGCTGACCATTTAGAAGCAGTGGCAAACTCCTGAGCGTAAAAATTAGCCTAGAAAAACCACAACAGTCAAAAAATGTTGGGGTTGCTTCTGCAACATCCTGTAAAGGATACGCAACAAATTGTTTTTAATATTGTAAACCACAACACAATGTACTAACCACCTTTTTTTGGTGTTTTATTAATAAGAGTGAATGCTGAAGAAGAAGAAGAAATTGTCCTCAGTGGAGTGGTGTATCCAGCATACATGCGATTCTAAAGCAGTTCCAACTCTGCTGAGCATTTCATGTAAATCTGCAAATCTGATTGCCAACTACCGAAGTAAATTTGTGTGTATTGAGCTACAAAGTTTCGGTTGGGGAAAGGGGGGGGATGATAGACCCACTGCTTCCCTAACAAGAATGTCCTTCAAGGCGACTAATAAAGGGAGTTTTCTTTGAAGTCAGAGTGTGTCTGTCTGAGAGGCAAGGAACTAACAGTCTGCATGCAAAAAAAGCATGATCTTTAAAACAGAAATGCATGCAAAACTCAGGTTCTGGAACAAGACCAAAATCCAGAAGTGGACAAACAACCAGAACTCTCCACCAGAGTTTACAGTGGGTAAAGGCTAAGAAGAAGAAGAGCTGAAAAGAGGTCAATGTCTCCAACGCAGACAAAATAAAACATTTCAGAGACAGTTTTAGGACCTCGTTAATGGTATTGATGGTATTGGTGTTGATCCTGACTTCTGGGAAGTTGTTGTATTTGACCGTTCATCTCTATGTTGGGGAACTGTCACATGGGGGGCAGCCAAAACTGGCAGCAATTCAGCGACGATAACAGAAAAAGACAATGAACTAAATTTCCCAGTCTTCTTATTCTTTAGTCCATGCTGTGCGGCGTTGGTAGTCATGTCTGTCTACAACCTTCTGATTTTGTATATTTTTAGTCACCTCTGACACAGATGATCTTCTATGATGTGATGTCAAACTGTCCAGTTTTTTCCTCTCTAACTTTTCCACTATCATAATGTACCCATTTCTCCTTCTCATCATTTGACCAAAGAAAGATTTTCTCTTTCTGATGTGGGCAATCAGTTTCTTTCAAAACATCTTCATTACTCTTTTTTTAAATCTGTGCAGGGTATTCTCATAGTTTGTCTATAGAAACCACCCCCCCCCCTCCCCCCACTTCTGGATAATTTTCACTGATCGCCCAACTGTCCGTGATTCACTTCCATTTATCAGGATAGGATTTATATAGCTTTTGAGAATTCTCTTTCTCATTTCCAATCTATGCAGCTCAAATTTCCCAAACATTCTGTGGCAAGGACCCGTTCAGCGATCTGTTGACTCATAAATTTCAGTCTAACACTGGCAGATGGATGTTCGCCTGTGGATCTCCAGGTCACGGGTTCAAGTCCTGGCAGAACCAGACTTCTTTTTTTCAACAATGGCTTTGGTTTTCAGGTTGACTCAGCCTTAAATTGGTACCAGGTAAAAGTCCAGGGCAGCCAGGTTGATTGTGACCAAATTACACCACGGAGTGCCGATTGGTCTGTAAAATATAGGTGTAGTCCTATATGCCTAATACACCTAAAGGCGTGGAAAAAGGTCCTTTATTTTACTAGCATATGGTCCTTGAAAGCTTTTGCCACATCTGCTTTATCAGAAAGTAGATCATTGCCCTTAGGAGCAGCAGCAGCAGATCTATCAACCGGCTCATTTCCTCAGGTGCAGAAAATGCAGTTTAGTATCGGATGCCCGCTTCTCTTCTTCTTCTATCTTCTTCTACCCTTGATCCCACAGTGGTGCATCGGCCCTCGACCAGCTCATGCTAGGATGTCCTATCCTTTGCTGTTGCATGCAGCTCACCCCATGTCTTCCTCATCTTACCTCATTCTCTAACTCCCTTCTTCATGTGTATATGTGGTCTGCCTTAATCTTTGTGCCCTTTTTGGATTCCAGTGTAAAGAGATTCTTTTTATATTGTTCTTAGGTTTTCTCAACATGTGTCCTATCCAACGCCAGCATCTCTTTTTCACCTCTTGATTCACTGGCAGTTGTTTAATTCTCTCCTAAAGCTCAACAATAGTGATTCTATCATACAGTTTTATTGTCTCTATTCTCCGCAGTCACCAGTTAACAAATGTATATAGTTAATTGGTAATTGTTTTGCTTGTTCTCTGTGTTTCGCTCCATACAGCAGTACTGATTTGATATTAGAATTAAACATTTTAAATTAACTATTAGTTTTAATTTCATTATATGCTCAATAGACATTATTATTCCTTTTATCTTTGACATTCAACAGTGGAAACAAAACCCTGGCAATCTTCAGGCGGTGGGGGGAAGCACAACGGTACCAAAGTTGAACTTTATCGAACAACAGCCAGCTCAAGTTCTGCAACAGATTTACATTAATTTGTATTTGGCAGATCCTAATCAGGTTTATACAATAACACTTATAATCATCAGCTGTTATTTATACTCTATCCCGCTGTATGGTTCAGAAATGTTGATAATGAACAAGTAACTAGAAAATCAAACTGACTCTCTGAAAATGTGGGTATACAGAACAATGGGCGTATTTCATTGAAACAGAGACAGCTAAATTAAATATAGAGGTTCTTGAGAGACTATGAACAGAAAGTTACTGAAATAAATATTTTTTTTTAAAGAGACAGTTGAAATATTTCGGTCACGTTAAAAGAGAAAACACTTTTTTTTTAAAAAAACCATACTGGATGGAAACATCGAAGGCAAGAGTTAGATAGTGAAAAAAAATGGATGGACAACATCAGGAGATGAATGAACAGCAATCTGAGCGAGTGCATGAGAGACAGAGAGTGTTGGAAATCCATTACAGCCAAACTTCACTGTGAAGATGGCACCTGATTGAGTCAGGTTTATGTATATATAATTTTGTTGTTATTGGATTGCAAGTTACATTTATGCTTTCACCAAAAAAACGTGTGCCTGGACTAACCAGACATCTGTTGTCAATTATTTCAGTAATCATCATTATAATTACATGTTAAAATTATAAGTAGAATAAAAGAAAGGACCCTTTTTGTCAAGCCTGCGGGCTTGAAGGGCTAGAAATATGTGTTATATAACAATCGGCACTTGTTGGGAAATAGGGTCAATATCAGGCCAGTCGCCTTCTCAGGACTTTACCTGGTACCCATTTCAGGTTGGGTCAACCTGTGAGCCAAGGTCAGTTTGAAAAAAGTCGAACTCCGTTTGGATTTGATCCCAGGACCTTCCGATCTGCAGGTGAACGTTTAGCTGCAACACACAAGGACAGCTCCCTTGACAATTATACATGACATTTAAAAAAAAAAAGTTAGTTGCGTACCCAACGTCTTTGCATTGCAGAATGAGCCGCAACAGTTTTTAAGGCTGTTTGTTGTTTCATGGTTGTCTCTCAATACCACTGTCGAGACCAACACTAGGCGGTCTGTTTACCAAACTGCCTGCAGCTCGGAGTTAAACCCAGCACCTCCAAATTATGAAGATCATTCCCAACACCTACGCCATGGCTCTAAATAAACGTTACATTACATAGGCAGAATAAATATGTAGTCAAATTCTGCTTTCTGTGGAGCTTTTTTTCAGTGGTCTTTGTTCACACTGAAAACACCATAAACTGGGATTTCATCTCAGGGTCTCTTAGGTTTTCTTCAAAGCTTAGTTGTCAGGTCTGCTGGGAGTGGCCATGTATTTTGCCCCGCACCTTCTCCAGGAGAGGGCATTCTTACAAGACATGATTGGGGGTCTGTTCGGCTCAAAGACAGCGTCAGAATGCTGATTGGCTTATACCTAATTTATATGTATTTGTTGAGTCTGTAATTCCGGTGCCTTCTGTTAACGCTTTCACCCATTAAACATTTTTTTTAAAAAAGATGTTTCTCAAAATTTTCTCAAAACAAAATGCCTCGTTATAAATCTCTGAAACTCTGCGCTAAGAAACTGGATTAAAAGAAGAAAAAGCGGGCAAAATGTTGAGTCTTGGTCAATTTAATAAAAACACAGAACAGACAGGTAAGCCTGCTAGCTTTAGCGTCATGATGCTTCCCCACCCCCCACTCTGTCCCTAAAAAGATGGATTTTTCATATTCAGAGTCATTATTTTGTGCAAAGATGAGGGAAGCCATCACTAAGTACTAACAGGGCAAAGAAATAACAAGGTTTTTTTTGATACAGCCACGGAGGACAGAGTGACGTCGTCATATATTTATGATGTCACAGTCATAAAATGATAGGTTCCCCCCCCCCCCCCCCAAAAAAAAAATCTCCAATATTGGGGGGGAGGGGGGATGAGGAATGTAATCATGCCCATTATGTCTACACACTATGCAGTCGCAGCCAGTACCGGAGCTGTTATGTAGGCGTATTTTCCCCTGCCTTTTGACATCCTGTCGTCAAAATCCTGGAAAACCTATATCAGGAACAATCCATTTATGTCCTTGGTGCGTTCAGCGAGCGGATGTTGGGGGCAAAAATAACATCTTAACCTGTACAGTCCAACGGGACATCACTAATAATGTATCCCTAAATTCTCAGGCTCAAAATCCCCCCCCCCCCCCTTCCTTTTCCCCGGCCTACACTGCTTTAAATATAACTTTTTTATGTACAATCAGTAAGTAATCAAATCAGGGATATTGCCATTGTCATATACATTTTTCTGTAATTTTAAACAAATCGTTCTGTTATTATTGCATAAAATGCAACAAACAATTTTTGATCAGCTTGTATGTAACTTTGCCTTTGCCTAAGGCACATCGGGTATATGGGCAGAGCGTCCAATATTTTTACAGACCAATCGGCACTTATGTCATATTATTGGTACAGAAAGTCGTTATTCAAAAATACATTGCTTGTTGCTTATAGAAGGTTCCATTCAGGACATCCTTCCATTCTGTGTCAAAAATGAGAATATTAACCAGAACTAAAGAATTGCACAGGGCGATTTAACTGTGTTTACTCAGGGACCAACATTTTGCAAATGGGGATTGTCACAGGCCAAAAGCCCACGCCTCAGCTTAGAAAGATCATTAATATAACTGTCAGTGATCCGCGGACCTCTTGCTAGGCCTCTGCGGGCCAGAGTTGACTAATTATTGTTTGTTCACCAGTTTTTCAAATGGAACAGTGAGGGACATTTCATTTGATTTTCACCGGTACAGGAACGGAGCAAGTATAGGGTGACCTGATTGCGGGGATGTTGAAATCCCGACTAAGACAATGACATTTACAAATATATTTTTGTGCTTTATCTTTAGAATTTTACACACTTTTCTGTATATTATTAATGCCTTATTATTATTGCCACAAATGTTGATGTTTCCCTGAGCATATATTTGACCTTTATTTTGTAGATTTATAACTGACATTCCATACCATTATGTATAAAATGCTAAATCTGCAGACAGTTGAGTAAATAAACCTTTTTGCACTACTGTTTATGATAGTAACATTTGAGTGATCATTTAGTTTTGTTGTGAATTTGGTTTTCTTTTGTCCAATCCTAGATGTTCACTTATTGGTCTGAAGATCTTGGGTTTGAGTCTGCACCAAACTGATTTGAAAAAAAGATTGATGTTGGCCTCAAGGCTGCCCCCAGCCTAAACTGACAATTTTGTGAGAAATAAAGGTGGCACATTGTCACATATCACTCCTGTCACGTGCCTGATTTAAGGATTTCTCCTTGAGAACCAACAGCACTCAGAAATAATTATGTTGAGTTGTTGGCTCGTATTGGTCTAAGGGATGCCCCGTGGCCAATATACGCTCAACTTATTTCTGGAGTAGGGCAACTCAAGTTTTGGCACTACAAAATATATAATATTCCTAGGCACACTTGGCTGGACATTCCCACTACTAAAAATAATTAGCCCCCAGGTTATGATATACTATCATAACCATGTTAACACATATAACACTTATCACTCACACACATATCATTGCTAAACAATTAGAAAGGTGAAACAGGGACACCTAAGTCAGCCATGAAAATGAATGTATGTAATAAGTACAAATTATTCACATATTAAAGAATAGATTTTCAAGAATGTTCATAGACTCAGGACTCAGTGACCCGACCCAGATATTGAAGCAGCCAGATTGTCTTGAGATGTATACTAATTCATCCCTGGAATACCACGGAGCTGTGGGGAAGAGAGCATGATAATGAAAAAAAAACTGTCACTTAGCCCAGTTCGTAGGTTGATGCTCCCCTCAGTCCATGGTGATTCGACTGTAGTTGACTCAGGTAGCTCTGCCTCAAGTTGATTTGATCACAGAGGATTACCTTACCATCGAGGACACAGAAACTGTATAGGGACTCAACAAGTCTCTCTCACAGGTCACAAAACTGTCTCGGGCCCCAACCAAGCTCCTGAAGACTGGTTCACTCGATCAATGACACAACCTCTGCAAATGTTCACTCGTCCTGGAGCTCACACACACGCTCTTGCCATGACATGGTTATGTTTGGTACATAAATTGGTGTTGGTTGGTGGTTGTTGGCTGGACTGTGATTCATCTGCCTGATCTCACAGAGGTCTCATCCCAAGCTTAGGAAATGTCCTAGACACCAAAGGCCGCCTCCTCAAAGTATAAATTTACAAGGCCCCGTTGAACACATCTGTTCTCTAGGCAGTCAGGCAGAAAAATGCCCGCTTCAAACTACGCTTGGCGTTACTAGAAAAGAAGTCCCTTGTATACATGAGCAAGGAGTAAACCGGTTTCCAGGAATTTTCAAATAAAACACCAGAAATCGCCAACTTACAGTTGCAAATTTGAAAATGAAGATATATCAAAGCAACTAGAAGGTCCAGAAATGACTATTTTACCAGATAAAGGTATAGATCAAAATAAGGAACTATATACCTTTCCGGACGGGTCTAAGTTTGAAATTTCGCTGAGCGCGAGGGATATCAGGTCCCGACTCGTCCAGTGTGTGTGGTGGCTGTTCATTTCATGACACACATATCACCCATCATGTGCCAAATGGTTTCTTACATGCATTATAAGCTCCGGCGGAAAGTCCTGGTTGTTCGTCCATTTGGACTTCGGCTTTGTGCCAGGGCCTGAGTTTTGCATGTACATCCGTTTTACTGGCTTATTTATGTGCAGCTGGTTGTTCCTTGCCGCTCGGGCAGATGCACTCTGACTTCGAAGGAAGTCCCCAGTTAGCCGACTCCTACGACATGCTTGTTGGGGAGGCAGTGGGTCTATTCTTGTTTTTCCCACAATAGGACCTCAGAACCCACACGGAGAAGGTTCATACTACAGTAACATTTGATTAAAATAAAGCAAATAAATGAAACCTAACTGAAACGCAAATTCTACTACTTTTAAAAACCGTTACCTGTTTTATCAGGGCAAACGCAGATTCACAATTTTCTTTTGTCTGT